ATTCAAAGGAACCAAAGTTCGTTGTCTTTTTATGATGTTTCCAACAGTATAGACTACCTTTGCCCTCATGAAGATTGTCTGATTGGTACACTTCAGGCATGGTTCCTTCAGGAATATAGGTAATTAAAAGATGTTTTCTTAATTCCACAATATAATTTGTCCATCTCATCTCACTTTGAGAGAAACATGGAGGGAAAAATTAGACCTTTGATATCTCTAGAGGTTAAAGTTAAGATCCGAAGGGATTTAGAACCAATATATCATCCAAACAACTTCACAATGAGCTCACTGGGAGCCAGGATCATTGCTAAACAGGTGAGTCATGTGGAGTTTGTATGTGGAATGAATCGCCAATCCTCCACCCATAATCTGGCTTCCCTTTAGAAATCTCCCTCCTTGGTAAACTGTGGTATTAAATGGAATCAGTCTGATTTTGGTGATACTACTGTTAACATCCTGATTGTATTTCCCACTTTCATGCTCTCTGCTTTTTGGCAGCTTCTAAAGGATACCGATTTGTACTTAAAATTCTACTTCATCTCCAACTCTCTCTCTCTGTCACACACTCCTTTAATGACCTCAAACTGGTTTAACTAGATAATCTCCTAGAATTACCCTCCTTCCTGCAGTTATACCTACAAAAGTGAGTTGTTACTATATGGCAAGTGAGATTTTCTGTTTAAAATTCTCTTATGAGGATGGGTCACCAAGAATGACTCCACACATAAGTGTCGATAACTGGGTTTTTTTAAAGTCCATCCTTGGTCTTTGGAAACAAACATAAGGTAAGAGTTTCCCTCTTAAATAAAGATTGGATACTCACTGTAATTTTTGAATCCTGAAATAAAATAGAAGTCTACAGTCAGCCCTCTGTATCTGTGGTTCTGCACCCCTGGATTCAACAAGCCATGGATTGAAAGACCTACAAAAGTTCTGTGTGTACTGAACATGTACAGAATTGTTTTATAATCATTATTCCCTAAATAATATAGTATAACAACTATTTACATAGCATTTACATTGTATTAGGTATTATAAGTAATCTAGAGATGATTTAAATTATATGGGAGAATGTGCATAGGTTATGTGCAAATACTACTCCATTTTATATGAGAGACTTGAGCCTCCCCAGATTTTGGTATCTGTTGAGGTCCTGGAACCAATCCCCAGGGGGATATCAAAGCATGATGTATTGGTATTTCACTTCTCTAATATTGCTTCTCAGAAAAGAGTTTGGTCTCAAACAAGACTTTAAGGCAATCAGACTCAAACCAGTTCATCCTAAACTTTTTTTCATGTCATGGATATTATTTATACGTATTTGGGAAACATACACACATTTTTGGAGGGAGCATCTGATGGCTTAAGAAGTCAGGATGCCTGCACACCTGGAGTACACTGGTGGTACACAGTGTGCCTCTGCGGTCTGGTTGGTAAGCTCTGGTAGAGAGACCAAGCTTATGTAGTCCTGGAGTGAAGCATACTTGGCTTCAAAAAGCCTCGTAGAGTCTGATAAAGCACAGAGCAGGACCTGGATAACACTAGGCAGTGAGTAAATCGGGAAATATCTTGACTAATAGAGCAGAGGATAGGAGAGGGGAGGTTTCTTAAGGACCATTTTCTTCTTCCCTATGATTGAACATTTTTTCTGTGCAAAGTATTTCTGTGCAAAAGTAATATACTTTTATTACTGAAATTATTTCTTTGGTTATTTTACCTTCTTTACCTTATTTCTCTAAAACAAACACACACACACACACATATATGTTCACGCTGATTGGAATTTTATTCTTGTAAACATAAAGATCTATAGGTTCTATATGCTATAATATTAAAATATTTCTGTTTGAGGTATAATCACAATTCTCCTTAGTATAAAATGATTAAAATAACCTATGTATTTCTAATTTTGATGAATAATCTTTAAATATAATTTTAACTTTCATTTGAAATTTGTCTTATTACTGAGATGAGAATGTCTCTTGATGAAAGGAATTATCTAAATGCCAAAATTGTTTAGAACTCTGAATATTTTTACAACTTGGAGCAAGGAATCATGAGATTCCAGATGAGTTAAAAATATTTTTACTTGTAAAGTAGGAGAAGGGTGGATTTTGAAAAGGGGAGACCAAAACAAAGCAAAAATACAAGAGCACAGGTGCCTTCCAAGGCAAATCATTTCCAGAAAGAAATAAGTATGGAAATGGAGAAACTGTAAAGTAATTTTTTAAAACTATTCTTGTCCTCATAACACTTGATGGGTCTTTTTATATGAACACAGATAGGCATACTCCAGTTTGAATTCCACCAGCACGGTAGAGTCATGTACTCAACTAATTCAACCATAAGTTAAGAAAACAAAACTAAAAAAAATAAATAAATAAGTTTGAAAGTATGGCTGTGCTCTGCTTGTCATTCTAATCAGTGAATTTCTTCTTTAGATTATCGTTTCTCAAACATGGCTGTATACTGGATCCACCCGGGGAGTTTTAAAAATACTGAAGCCTGGGTGCTACCCAAACCTTCTGATTAATTTGGCAGAGGGTACCTGGACACTAGGATGTTAAAAACTCCATAGATGATCCCAATGTGCAGTAAAATTAGAGTCAAAACTTGCGTTAGGAAAGATGAAGTTTCACAAGAAACAATTGTGCTTATTAAGGAAATCTTTGAGTAAAATGTGTCAGTGATTTCAAGAATTTTCCCTCACAATTGAAAGAGGTGAGGAAATGATTGAGTAAATGGTTAGACTGTGGAATAGCTATCGCTTCAGAACAACCTACAGAAACTAATTGGAAGTTATGAAGAAAAACTACTTTTAAAAAACTAGAAGAATTCATAAAATAATGTAGAGAGTTATAAGGTAGATGCAAAGCCGTAAGTGATGTGTTTTATGAGTAGTTTAACAGACATTCATAGGCAATTTTGTTTTCACGTGATTTTTAAGTTTTTTGAATTTTGAAATCCAAACTCTACCTCAATAAGCAACTCCACAGTAAACTTTGCTTTTCTATCATTAATTTGGTGCCTGTATATTCCACTTGATGGTAAATATCCTCCATAGTTAATGTTCTCATTGAGGCATTTATCTTCTCATATGGTTCCCTCTGAGGTGGTTTGACATGTACTTTGGAGCCACCATAAATCCTGAAGTTATATAAAAGAGATAGCAAAAGAACCTGTAATGCATAGATGGTCTTTGTTATTTTAAGTAAAATATTATGATAAATCATAAATAAACCTTTCCATCTGACACCATTTTTCAGTGAAGGTGGTCTGCTTTACTTTTACTTTGTATAGTAGCCTTGCTGTTATTCTCCATTATATTTTCACATGTCTTCACAGCTGGAATTGATATAAAAGACTTTGTGAGAAAAAATTGAGTATGTTCAAGTCCCATATGCAAGTAAGATAACCCTTAATTCTAAATATTCTTGAATGAAACAGTTGTTCACCAGGCAGGAAAGCATTGCATAATAACTTTTTAAAAGCTCAGGCTCCTGCAATTTTACCTTGGCAAAGTTTATGTAAAGCTTAGCAATCTTCGGTAAACTACAGCTTTCATGTTTGTCATCTCTAAGCTATAAAACTTTTGCTTGATACTATAGCAAAATGGATGCATTAGCCAACCTTATTTTTCTATCTTAGTGATTGACGCTGAACAAGCAGGCCACTAGACTTTGGACAGCATAGCTTGATGAAAACGAATATGTGCTGTACTGTCACACTCATACTATACCATCTATTCTCTGTGACCACAGCCAAAACCCTGAGATTTTTCAATTGTTAATCAGGAATAATGGGATAGAACCTTCTTCATAACATTAGGAACAGGCTATCATAAGTGAATTCACATATTGCACTAAGTAGAGTATCTGATAAGAACAGCACTCAATTGCCACAGATAAATATTAATGATAGTAATAAACACAATTTGAAATATGAAGAATTTACATATGATGATCTCTCAACACTCCTTTCTTTCTTAACATTTTATGATTCCACTTTGTGGAAAATAAAGCCAGGAGAAAAACATAAAGTTTAAATGGGATAATATTGGGTTTAATGAGTCTTTTACAGACATAAGTTCTGCCTCTTTGGCAGGTATACAAATAATTACAATTATTCTGAAACACATCAAGAACTCTACCTACCTGTGCATAGTTTCCATAAAACTTTATCTACAACTGAATACCTCCTTAGGATGCATTGCTAAAACGTGAATACTAGAGTAAACGCTTTGGATATTTTAAGCCTTTGAAATGTATTGACACATATTTAGGGGGAAAGATGTTTATCTACACATAGTTTAGAGTAGTAAGTTATCTGGTAGATTACTTCATGTTAACTCCTTGGGCAATAAACTTCAAAATGTGGTGAATGTTGAATTGGAAAAATCATAATTCTGTTTAATTTGTATGCAAATAAAATTTTACATTTTATCTTCTTTTTCATTAATTTTCTTTTGGCTTCTATAGCATCAAGTGTTTATTCTTTATAAGTGGGAGAAGGAATATAGGAAAGTCAGTCAGTCATAATAGATTATTTTAGTATTTTTTTTAAGTTTGTGGGAACATGCACACAATTGAAAAGATGGAAGAATAAATTTAGTTTTATTTATGAATTAGATGTTTTTGTGCTACCATATTTATATATGCATAGAAATGATAGAGGCAGGAAAAACACTAAAATATTAGTGTTGTTTGTCTCAAGTGGTTTCTTTCAGATACTATTTAACTTTTAATCATAATTCTCTCATATTTTCTAAAAGTACAAAGCTACGTAACTGTAAAAAAACTATTTTGAGAGTAAATTACGTCTTTCTCTGGGGCAAGAATGGCATGTCATCAGAGAGGTAAGGTGCCCTTTTTGCCCACATGATGGCATGATTCAAGGTGATAAAATATCAGTGATAATTTCCCCCAACACTGGCAGAGGCCATGAGAAGTGTCATTTTTATTTTTCAATTGCAGCAAAATCCACAAAATCTATCAGAATAAATGGCTGAAGTTAATATCACTTATGTCACTGAATTCATTCTCAAGGGAATTACAGACCGGCCAGAGCTTCAGGCCCCATGCTTTGTGGTGTTTTTAGTGCTCTATGTGGTCACAGTGCTGGGCAACCTTGGACTGATTACCTTAATCAGGATTGATGCTCGACTCCACACACCTACGTACTATTTCCTCAGTCACTTGGCCTTTGTTGACCTTTGTTACTCCTCTGCTATCACGCCAAAAATGATGGTGAACTTTGTTGTGGAACACGACACTATTCCTTTCCATGCTTGTGCAACACAACTGGGCTGTTTTCTCACCTTCATGACCACCGAGTGTTTTCTTTTAGCTTCCATGGCCTATGATCGCTATGTAGCCATCTGTAGTCCCCTGCATTATTCAACATTGATGTCAAAACGAGTCTGCATTCAGCTAGTGGCAGTTCCATATATATACAGCTTTCTGGTTGCCCTATTCCATACCATTATCACCTTCCGTCTAGCTTACTGTGGCCCCAATGTAATTAACCATTTCTATTGTGATGACCTCCCTCTCTTGGCTTTGTCCTGCTCAGACACACACATGAAGGAAATTCTGATCTTTGCCTTTGCTGGTTTTGATATGATCTGTTCCTCTTCCATTGTCCTCACCTCCTACATCTTTATCATCGCCGCCATCCTAAGGATTCATTCCACCCAGGGGCGATGCAAGGCCATCCTTACCTGTGGCTCCCATATGGTGGCAGTCACTATTTTCTATGGGACACTCATCTTTATGTACCTACAGCCCAAATCAAACCACTCCCTGGATACAGACAAGATGGCATCTGTATTTTATACAGTGGTGATCCCCATGTTGAACCCCTTAATCTATAGTCTAAGAAACAAAGAGGTGAAAGATGCCTTTAAGAAAGCTATGGATAAAGGTTGTGAAACCTCAAAGATATTAAAATTAAGAAAATAATAGTAATAAATGCTTTATTAAATACCAGAAGGGAAAGCAATCAAGCTTTCTGTTGCTGAAATTTCTTGTAATTCTTCCCTAATTGACTGAAAATGTGACTGTTACTTCAAAGAGCTTGACACTTTCTACAAGGACCTAAGCCAAACCTGGAAAGTCTGTATGACACAAAGTCCCATTCAGGCCATTACAGCCTTTACAGACCACTGAAACTATGTTCAAATACACTCTCACACACACATATGTGTATCTCAAACAATGGCAACTGCATGTTTTTGTTAGAACTTAGGACCCTGGAACTGCCTGAATTTGAATTCTATCTCCTTGATCTGAACTCTATGTGACTCTCTTGTCAATTTTGGAGAATAATAGGACCCAAATTATCAGTTTGTTTTGAAGACTAAACAGGTTAATGTTTATGAAATGTTTAGAACAATATACTGTGATAATAAGTGCTGTGTGCTTGTTATATAAATGTTTGTTATATATAATTAAAGGTTAATTCATTCATCTCTCAAAGGTTTATCAGTCTTTAAGTAAGAAGACAAAGCCTAGTTAGGTTTCTACTACCTGCAAGGTACTTAAATAAGTAGTCTAACTTAATAAAATCAAACAAACCTAAGAGACGTGTGAGATTTTACTCTGGGCCCCAATTATCTATAAATTGTCTAAGGTCACATAATTAGTAATATGAAAATTCTAAATGCAAATTCATGTCTGTTTAAATTTTATTTTCATAATACTATAGGTGTTAAGAATAAAGAAGGTTGTAATATAGATAATATAAACTTAAACGTGTCATTATCAGATTTTTAAATAAAATTGAAAGACATTTGTTAAGAAATTGTGTTGTTAAATGAATAAGTTCAATGCATCTGTACATTTGTTCAAATAGAAAAATCTTAAATTATAATGTTGTAACTGAAAGTTCGGTCCCTGAACCCAATGCCATCCAAATAAGGAGAACGGTGTCTTGAGTGGAAGAGGAAAGTTTTTTTTACCATGCCAGGCCCTGGGAGCAAAGCAACGGCTCATGCCTCAAAAATTGCTACCTCCCCAATCAGGAATGGGTAGGGATTTTTATTTGGGGTTTTGGGTAGGGGAGGGGGCGCATGTAGCTGTGCAGTTTGGCATTTTCTCACCAGCCTGCATTTGGCCTTCAGAGGCTGCTTACAGGGAGGCAGGGGGATGGTGAGATAGGAGGATGGCAGATGGGCATCCTTTGCCTTTGTCTTGCCTTCCTGTTTGAGGCAGTTCAAGTGCAGGGAGTGGAGGAGTTGAGGTCTGGGAAGCCTCCGCTCCTTGATATTCTTGAGACAGCAGCTTTCCTGGCAAACTTCAAGGACACATGATTAGCCAAACTTTAGTGTGCCTCCAACTCCAGGCCACCTGGGCTTTTGACAATTTGTAAGTCCTATTTAGTTGTAAAGCTCAAGGAGTCCAAGGTTAAAGAAGCAGGTATTTACATATGAGTGGAGCTAGAGAAGCAGGAAAGTGGATGATGGGTTTTAGTTTTAACCCCATATATGTTGGGTTCAATGTGGGGGAACTGATATTAGGGCTGGTGTTAAGAGGCTGTAACAACGTCATTTGTCTGTGTCTTCTATTTATTCAATTACCCTGATAGGATCATGACATAAACTTTAAAAATTAGAAATTTGTTATGCTTTTATTATTTTGATACTTCATGAAAAGTGATGAAATTAGTGATTTAGTATTATCTTATCATCCCTATTTTAGAAGGAAATTGTGATGGTGGCAGTCATTATACTTAATACAATTTGAGGTTTGTAATGCATGTGAGTGTTTCCTCTTCTGCACTTAATTTGTAAATAACTCAGATGTGCTGCCATGAGGTGCTTTGGGGACCTTGTGAGTGGAACGAATTCTCAAATTTTTAAGGTAGTTTTGAGGGAAACATGGTGTTTCTATTCACCACACTTTATCTTTTGAGAGTATGTTTACATGGATAAATGCACACATGCATCTTCACATCACATACAAGAATGCATGGAAGAATCATAGACAGTCTCCTTTTTAACAGGTAAAGAAATAAGACATATGGAGTCTTTTTTTTTTTGTTGAGGAAGATGAGCCCTGAGCTAACATCTGCTGCCAATCCTCCTCTTTTCGGTGAGGAAGACTGGCCCTGAGCTAACACCCATGCCCATCTTCCTCTAGTTTATATGTGGGACACCTACCACAGCATGGCTTGCCAAAAGGTGCCATGTCCGCAGCAGGATCTGGACCGGTGAACCCGGGGCCACTGAAGTGGAATGTGGGCACTTAACTACTGTGCCACCGGGCCGGCCCCCAGTCCTATAGAGTCTTGATACCTCACCTGAGGAACACTGATCTGGGATCTCCCTGCGCCTTTCTTCTTCATAAACTTATTTACAGAAGTATTTATTTACAGAAGGCTTAGACACTAATTGAGTTGAAGTTTTCATGTATTTACACAATTTTAATTCTTTACTATTAGCAATCATTTCATAAGGTAAAATTGGCTTTTCTCAGGGAAATGAGCTAAGAAATTCAAGTGTAATCAATAGACATGTCATCCAACTTCTTCGTGGGCAGATGCAACCTCTAAAAGTGGACTCCAGCAATTGCTCTAGGTGACTGGGCTCATCTCTTGAAACACCAGTCCCGCAGTCAAAACATTCTTCATTTTGTCTGCAGGTATACCTAAATAGAATATTTGTATGTTCACCCTTCCTTCCGTGGTCTCAACAATGTTTTCCTTTTTTTGTCTTTATCCGGATACAGAATCGGGAGGGTGAAGAAAAAGAAAGTAGGAAATAATCCAACTTCTTCAATGTCCAAGATTAGTGAAGAGCGTGACTGATTTCAGAAAAATTTGGCCCCAAATTTGGGATTTTCAATTCCTAGTTTTATTGCATACAAAACCCCAGTTACTTGTAAAATAATGAAAATCTCATCTCACAAACTGGTATATAAGCATTTAGATAGAAATATATGTAAGGGCCGTCGCATATTCTTGGCATCTAATACATAGGATTGATAAATATCAGCTTTATTATCATTATTGTCAGTGATGTAGACAATCCTGAAGAAGTTTTCTTGTCAATAAAGTTTTCTTCTGTAACCACAGCCAATTAATTGTCTACTTTGAATAAGAGTCCAAGCAGTTGTCTTTGCATATTGATATTAGAAGCTTTTAGACTTTGTTTTAGATTTTCTTTGATTTAGATACTCTTCAACTCTTTTCAGCTTATTGAATGAAGACTGAAATGTTCTAAAGAAGACGTCACATTTTCTGTATAAGTTGTTTTTAAATCCTTTAGTTGAATAAATACTACCACCTAGTTCTAAAATATTCTACAGTAACAAGAATAAGAATAAGGATAGCTAACATTTATTGAATGTTTGCCATTGTTTGGACTAATTCTATGTATTTAGCATTTATCAACTCATTTAATGCTCTTATCAATACTAGGAAATGTCACATTTTCAAGTTTAATACGTGAAAATCAAGATTCAAAAAATAGATTAATCAAGTGATCCTTAACCCATCTTACTTTCAAAAAGGGATCATTTAAAAATATGTGAACTTAGGGCCGGGCCCAGTGGTGTAGTGGCTGCGCATGTATGTTCTGCTTCAGTGCCCCCGGCTTCATGGGTTCAGATCCTGGGTGCAGACCTACACATCACTCACCAAGGAATGATGTGGTGGTGTCCCCATGTACAAAATAGAGGAAAATTGGCACAAATGTTAGCTCAGGGACAATCTTCCTCACAAAACAAAGAAAGAACTTGAAAATATGCTTTAATTTAATTAAAAATTCATTTTTTTAGAAGCATAAGATTTTCAGTAATATATCTAGAATGTAAGTACTCTGATGAAGTTAGTTTTACACTTTTTGGATGCTTACTTGCATTTCCTTCATATTTTATCAATTATATTTTTTATTTATGTATAAGTTCAGAGGAGATTGTATTTTTCCTACATGTTTTGACTCATCAAAGTAATAGTAGAAAGTAATCTATGAAGAAGAACCTCTAGAGATTACATGTTTATACACTATTTTTTTCCTCAGGGCTTCTTCTTGGCACTCAATTTGGTCTGTAAGTAATAAATTAGCATAGAATGTTGGCATCTTATTATATAAGTAATCACACAAATTAAGGACAACCAGAGATCATTTCTCAAGAAAGTTTCCATTTATAGATGCGAAAAGTGCATGCGTGTGTGTGTGTGTGTGTGTGTTTATTAAGTTCTTTTCCTTAGGTTCTAAACAAAGGCGGTTATACAGAGTCATGCATGCCATCGATATTTTGGTCGACAGACTGCATGTATGATGGTGGTCCCACAAGATCAGTACCATATAGCCTAGCTGTGTATGTAGTAGGCTATAGTGTCTAGGTTTGTGTAAGTAAACTCTATGTTGTTCCCACAACAATGGAATCATCTAATGATGCATTTCTCACAAAGTATCTCCATCATTAAGTGACATATGACTGTAATAGCACATGGGACCCTGTGACATCAAAGTGTCAAAGTGAAATGTGATTAGCCTTTACAGAAACAGCTATGAATCTGGTTTTTGGGGGAAATGGGAGATTCTTAGAAAGATTTGAAGTTAGGGCCACTGATAGGCAAAGGGGTGATAAAGGCAGAGCGTCCTCTGCCCCATATGTAGTGAATTTTCCTTTGTTTTCTTCTCTAGAGTATATGAACAACGTGGGCGATCCATTTTCTGTGCCATACTCAGGCTCACATATCTTTCCAATTACTTTTCCAACTTATGAAAAATTTAATTTAAATCTAGTTTGGGGCAGACATTTTTGTGAATCACCATTCAGGTTTTTTTTTTTTTTAAATCCCAGTGTTGTACAGTTTGTATCACTGGAAATATAAGATACGCATTGAAAAAAATTTAGCTTTACTGTTGGACAAAATTGAGCTCAAATCTTGTTTTTTCTAGTTATCAGTCATGGTGTGTTAATGAACGACATAAACTGTTTTGAATTTCTTTATT